GGCCGGACTTTTGGCGAAGCCGCGGACGAGGCCCACCACGGCGTCCCACGTGGCCTTCGGCAGGCGGAAGGAGCCAGCGGCGGTGTCCGAGGCGGATAGCTCGCGCCATAGCTGCTTCGGGTCAAGAGACGGCGGCGGTTTCTGGGTGGGATCGCCGGCTGCGTCGCCGGTGGAGAAGAAGCGGTGCTGGGGTGGGAGCCATGGGGACGGGGGTTGCGGCAAGGGGAGGTGGAGGTGAGAGAGGAGAGGGAGTATGAGCCGGTGGTGCGTGGTGGAGGTGGAGCGGCGGAGAAGCGCCGCGGCAATGGCGGCGGCGGCGGCCATGGGGTTGGTCGGTTAGGCCAGCGGCATGGGGGCGAGGGGGAAGAACGAGAGGGACCCAGAGTTCCTCTGAACTTGAGTTCCCTACGTCATAGGAACGTCCGAACGTCCGATGCTATCCTTTGCATCCGACGGTAGCAAATAATCCCACGTAAACAGAGCGAGGGGCTCGGCCTAGAAGCCCATTGCGGCCCAGGATTAGCCACAGGTGCAAGCGGTGGGGCCGTGGAGGCAAGAGAACAGAGGTGCCAAACGCCGCCCTCCAGCTTCTATCCCCAAACTCCCAAAGATTGCAGCTCGTGCGCCACACACGGACACGAATCCTCCCCACCTCGGATGCAGTGCCTACCCTGCGGACCGTCCACCAACGCGCCCGCTGCGCATGCCGCGGCCAGGAGCGTCAGCCGCCGGAGGGTTGTCGTCAAGGGCGTCGCCTCGGCAACCCACGACACTGACGACACCGAGGAAGCGCCTCCAAGGTCTGACAACTTGTTTCCACCCACCAGGATGTTTTTTTCTTCTTTTGGGCGACAAGATTTTGATCGGCAGAATCAAGCAGTTCTGGGTTGCTACATACTTTGCTCGTGTTTGTACTTGGTGTTTGCATTCCAACTTTTAATTCTCATTCTTTTTGTTCGTCTCCGTGTAAAGTGTGCTGTGGGCTGTGCTGTGCCACCTGGGATATACTAGTTCCGTACTTAAGTTTGGCATCTGATAAGTGGTTGTGGTTGCTACAAGATAAGAGCGTGTTCATGTTCTGTTATATTATATAATATATATAATACTCGACATACCATTTCTACTTCTTCTCACTCTCTGCAGTTGCTAACGGTTTGCATAGACTTTAGTTTTATTATCATTTGATTTTACTTGTTAGCTGGTCACTGGATTCTTCTCTTTATTTTTGTTTCCGAATCTTCCAGGTCAATGAGGACAACATGTGATCTTGGTGCAATGTCAAGCAAAGCCTTATTGCTTGTGTCAAAGAGGAAGCTTATTGCTTTGTCAGCCTTCTGTCTTAGCTTACATTCTTCAAGGTACTTTCCAGGTTCGGACCAAGTGACATCGGTAATTTAGGTGTTCTTAGAAATACTCTCAGTACCTTTCACAGTGACCAGGCAATTTCCTCTTTGCAATAGGTTGCTTTTTAATTGTCCATGGTATATGGTCTCTTTTAATTTGGCGTTTTCTTACTGCAGCACTTGCTTTGGGTGATACATCTGTCAAAATCGAGGATGTGACTCCCAAGATTTTTCCATCTGGGCCATTATTTCCAACTGAGGTCAGTGTTCAGTTGGACCTACTTGCTTGGTTTATCCTATAAGCTTGTTCTCAAGATATCTTTACGCTTCTTTGGGTCATGCTCCTGAATGGCAGAAACGGATCGCAGAACTATTCGAAACAAATACTTACTCAGTCGTCAACATTTTTGATGCAACACTACGGCCACAGCTTAATGTTACTGGTGTTGTGGAGGTAAAGAATTACATGCTCTAAGTTCAGGCTCAAGAGTATTCTGTTCTCATCAGTATCTTTTGCAGATAGCGTTTAATGACAGTTTTTTAATAATATAAAGGTGTGAGAAGCACTTGATTGAGTGAAACTTTTCATTCATTTTAGATCCCTGAAGGAAATGGTTCTGGTGTAGTGTGGGATGATTCTGGACATATTGTTACAAATTATCATGGTATGTTGATCTGAGATGATCAAATCTCTACTGTATATGAGCATTACCTTACATCTTTTCTGTGCTTTACAGTTGTTGGCAGTGCTCTTTCAAAAAATCCGAAGCCTGGTGATGTTGTTGCACGTGTCAACATTCTTGCTGCCGAAGGGTAATACATTTTGATGAATTAAGTATGACGAAGATACCAGCATTCTTGTATATGCAAGCCAACTAATGGCCTATTGTATCTACTTGAAAGGATACAGAAAAATTTTGAAGGCAAATTGGTTGGTGCAGATCGTGCTAAAGATCTTGCTGTTCTTAAGGTAAGATGTATTTTGACCGATTCTGAGTCAAGTATCAGCACTTGATTCATAATGCCGTATATGAAGAATTGAAGATAGTCTACAATGTCAACATTTTTCTCGAACAGTCTTCAATGTCAACATAGTTCACCTTTTTCTCATTCCAATATATGTCATCATGATTGTTATTCATATTTGCATATCATCTCAGTCTTCTACATGCATCTCAATCTATTATTTTTATCACTAACCATTGAATTATCTGTCTAGTTACTTAGATTAATTACATGTCATATGGCATGGACCAAGGAATGCCAATCTTAGAAAAGGTAGAAAATGAAAAGAGGGTGGAATGCTTGATAGCCTTTATTGTCACTAGAAAATTTCATCTCATGTTTGCCAACCAATTTAATCAAAGTCTGTTTTTGGTATTCACCTGAGTACAGTAGTTGTGTTTATTAACTTTCACTATCCTTTGCATTTGAAAAGGTCTTGTCAATCAGTTTCTTTTAGTACCTAATGCATTGACATGTAATAGGTTGATGCTCCTACAGATCTCTTGAAGCCAATTAATGTGGGACAATCCTCGGCCCTAAGAGTTGGTCAGCAATGCTTAGCAATTGGAAATCCTTTTGGTTTTGACCATACTCTAACTGTTGGTGTTATCAGTGGTTTAAATCGAGATATTTTCAGTCAGGCTGGGGTGACAATTGGAGGTGGAATTCAAACAGATGCAGCTATTAACCCTGGTAACAGGTTTGTAGATATGGCTCAAAATGCTTTTCTACATTGATTATCTTATCCGAATGAAATTTTGCAGCTTAGGCTTCAGTCTTACTTTCGAAGATACTGTTAGCACCTAGCAGGGATGGAGCCAGGCTATTTTGATGTTGTCACTTGACAACAATGAGTTTTAAATACAAGGCTAAACTGTTGTTGATCTAAGAGAAAACAAGACCAATAATCATTCTTTTCAACACTAGTGACATCAATTGTTCTCTATTCTGGATTCGCCTTAGCATTAATGGTTTTTTCTTAAGATCACCTAGCATTAATGCTTCTGTTGTACTGAACTTAGCACTTAGACAATCCTAAGAATATTTTGGCTAAGGAAATGTCATACAAAGTAGATTTTGACCCTTAATTTCTCTTACAATATGTTGTCAATTGTTGAGAGAATCAATATCATCTCATAGGCTAACTGTGGACCAAAATTTGTAAATTTTGATTTTTCCTCGGAAAAATACGATTGTCATTCTTGGACGGATGGAGTACCATATATGGTTTATACTTTATACTCGATACCACTTCAAACATTGTAGAATAGCGAGGATAGTTGCCGATTGTAAAAGTGCAAAATAGTGAATCAGATTTTACATCAGTGATCAGTATACAGACTATTAATTGGTACTTTATTTAAGTGACTAGCATCGAACATTATGATGCACGAATTTGGAGATAAATTTCTGCTCTAGCAGTTTGCATAATGATTATATCAGTGGTTAGCATGTTACTACTCTGGAACTTGGGATCACTATAGTCAAGTTGGGAGCCTGACAAGCTTTAATTGATAACCTGTTTTGAGTTAACTATTTCTCTGCACTCAGATGTTTATCCTACTGCATTCATTATACAAGCTCGACCTTTATCCTATCCATGCCCGATTACTTAAGTACATTGCAACTAGTGATTTACATACATTAGGTCTTGCTTTGTTAAGCAGTTCTACTGTGTCATATCTTTTTCATTAAATATCATGCACTATGATTTCCTCAACTGAAAAGGTACTACAAAGCACTTTGCTAACCATGTATTTTATGAACCTCAATGCAGTGGTGGTCCTTTGCTTGACTCAAAGGGGCATATGATTGGTATTAATACAGCAATTTTCACACAGACTGGTAAGATTAATCCCATTTCTCAAAACAGTGCTAGCAAAACATATGATTCGATACCTCCATCCATAAAATAGTCCTTATGCTGAGATGTTGCTGCAGATGTTTCTGTTTTTTATGCATAAACAGCTACACATACCTCAACATCTATGCTATCTGGCCATCATCAGTGAAAAGTACACATGTAACAATATTTCACAAGTGTTGTTGTCATGATCTTAACTAGCTTATCGCAAAGTTTAATAACTACATATATTTCTGATTCATTTTCTAGATTTCTTTGTTCATTGTATTATTGTGATGAGTGATGACATTTAGTGACTTCCTATATAGGATGGAATGCTGAGTTGGTGTTACTGTATTTAAAATCATTTCTTTAGTTTGGCATTGGCTTGCATCCTAGTCTCCTAGAGGCTAATGCCCCCTTTGGATTGAAGGATTGGCACAGGATTTTTGGAGGATTCATCTTCCTAAGGAATTTTTCCTATCTAGCCCTTTGGTTCACAGGAAAGTAAAGGAATAATTCCTTAGGATTGCATTCCTATGGCCTGATTCCAGAGGAAAATAAACATGAGGTCAGACCTCTTGGAAGCTTTCCTGGCGCGAAATCGGACTTGTCGCGTGCCTCGCTCTTTCTCGGTCATCTTCGTGCTCACGCCAAAGACAAACGGCCTCCCCATCGCTGGCTCGCGCAGCGGTCGCCCGTCGTTGGCGCACCTGGCGGACGCCCCATCGCCGGCTCGCGCGACGGCCGCGGCATCACTGCTGCACCGCTGCACGGGACAGCATGACGCCCTCCCCATCGCTAGCTATGTAGGGAGAGTCGGCCTGCCCCAATGCCGGCCACGGAATCTGCCTGACCCCATCTCCGGCCACCTAGTCCATCGCTTGCAACCACAAACGCAGCGGGTCCATGCATCCGCGCGTTCCTCCGTCGTCCAGGTGCGCTTTCTTTTCCCCATCTGCTTCCAAGTACGTTCCTTTTCCCTAACTGAGGATCGACATTTTAGTACTCAGATCCACCCAAAAGATTGCAGTAGTAGGCCTGAAAAAGGCGCGGTTTGGGGCGCCCCTAAGCCTAATTAGCGTGCTGCTGCTATCTACCAAATTATCATGCGCACAGGACTGGCAAAGGCAAATCAAAGAATGTGTCAGTTCCTTCAACGCTGCTGCATATATGTATAAGCACTGTAACGGCAAGTTTGCTGTTTCGAATGCAATGGCTAGCTGTTCAAATCCAAACTGTTGTACAGAATTCCTTTGGTTTTCCTGTGGTGCTACCAAAGAGCTTCTCATTTATTTTCCTGTGTTTGGTAATCCTATAGGATTGAAGAAACATGGCACATCAATTCCTATGTTTTTCCTATCCTTCAATCCAAAGGGGGCCTAAGAGTTTTTACATGTCATTATTCTCTTTAAAATGGATTGGTAATAGTTGTATACTCTTTAGATCCTAGCTTCTGTACAGACCATAAGTTTATTTTATTCTGTTTGTGTTGTCCTGGTAGTGCATAAATCAGATTGCCTCATATCCAATATATGACTTAAGTTTATGTAGTTTCAACAGTTAGTCTGAGATGTGACTGTTTCTTCGCTGTTTCAGGAACATCTGCTGGTGTTGGCTTTGCTATCCCATCATCAACTGTACTTAAAATCACTCCTCAGTTAATTCAGTTCGGAAAAGTATGTTGCATGGATGTCTTTCATTACCAACTTCATACTCCAAAGTTTTCTAAACAATGCCTTGAGAGATATTTATCAATGAACTGTTACTGTTTAAGATGCTTTTATTCATTTTTTTTAATTCCAGTTGTCCCTAGTACGTTCGGTTAGCATAACATACTAACAGTATATCAGATGCTCTGAACAAGCATGCAATTATTTGTAAGATATGGCGTTTTTCCTTTTTTTTTATGCAAGATATGGAAAATTTGCAGTAGGAGGTTAAGGTTCAGCTGATCAGGTTCTTTGAATGGTATATTAACCTTTTTTCAGTGAAAATGGAAGTTATTTTGGTCTCAGTTTGCCTAGCTAGGACTAACTATCCTTCCCTCGAGATCACGTCCACTATATATTTTGCTGTCTCTTGAAGGATTTTTTTTTTCCACAAAATTTATAGCACAGATAAGCAAATTGGGTTGCTTTTCTCATTTAATGTTACGCTTTGTTCAACTCTGATACATCTGTCTACGTTCTGTATTTTATTTTACCCTATCCTAAGTTAGGTTAACATTTCTTTCTTAAGGTTCGTCGTGCTGGCTTGAATGTGGACTTTGCTCCAGATCCAATTGCATATCAGCTTAATGTTCGCAACGGAGCTCTTATACTTAAGGTAAACTGAATCACTGGTACCCTTCTATTTTGTTATCCAAACAGGATGCTGTAGATGTTTGCCTGCACTTGCATCCCCATTTTTTCCTATCGGCTGTTCCTCCGTAGGTACCTGGGGGCAGTGCTGCAGCCAAAGCAGGTCTTGCTCCGACTGGCAGGGGTTTCGCTGGTAATATTGTTCTCGGTGATATCATCATTGCCGTGGATGGCAAACCTGTGAGTTCCATTTTCATTAATGTGGTCGTCTTTGTGTAGGCATTTAAGAGATCCGGATAGTCTTTTGAACCTTGCTCGTGTTTCTTGTGTTGTCATTTCGGGAACAGGTTAAGGGCAAATCTGACCTGCTGAGGGTTCTGGATGACTATGGCGTCGGGGATCAGGTGACCTTGACAATCCGGCGAGGCTCTGAAACCCTTGAGGCAACCTTGCCTTTGGAAGAGGCAAACGTCTGATCAATTTCCGAGAAATAGAACCCACATATTCCAAGCTGTCGCGGTGTAAGTTTATCGCACCGGCCAAGCTGTCCATGCCCCCAATTTCACTAGGAATATTCAGATATCCTTTTCGCTGTAGACATTCCCTGCACATGTATATGAGCATGGGCTGCACTTCCCCGTGCTTGTTATTATCTTAAGATTATTGTTGAACCAGCCTGATGTTATCATGTTAGAGAACTCGCTGGAAGTCTGAGCTGTTGGTTGAATTTGTTATCGTCTGATTTCCATCAGTTCATCTCACCTGTTGGTTGGAATTGTTCTCATTTTCTTGGTTGGCAAGATCATGCGATGGTGTGCACGCGGTCAGTCAGTGTTTTGTGGTGACCGCTCGTCCGCACCGGCTGCAACGGAGAGAGAGCCCGTGGCCGAAGCCCCGCAGGCCGCAGCCGAGGTGACGTCGCGGTGCGTTAGCTCACGTCGCGCTCTGGCCCGGAGGTGGCGCGCCCGCGGAGGGCAAGGGCGTGCACGATGGTCGATGGCACGCCACGGCCGTCGCCCGGTCACGGTGGTGAATAGGCGAATGGGCAGTGTGGATTCGCTCGTGCTTTTTGCTTCGCCGGCGCGCTTTAAGTTAAAACCGGACGAAGGGGATTTACCCAGAGAAAGCGAAAGGGAGGAAGGAGAAGGCAAGAAGGGGAATGTCCCTGCGCGCGGCAACAATGGCAGAGCCTCCCCCGCGGCTTTTCTCGCTGCGCGGCGTGGCAGTGGCTGGTGGGCGGGGTTCGGCTTCCTGCTCGCTTTGGATCTTTGAACGGGGTAGCTCGTAGGCGAGCGAGCTTTGGCACCGGTCCCACCACCCCAGTCCAAGGCCGGCGGAACATGCACAAGAACGGCGGCACGCGACGTCGACGGGGAACAACTTAACGAGCCGGGGAGAGGAAGCAACGCACTACTAATCCATAAAGCAGGAAGCAGCATGAGCTCGCCTCGTTCTCTTTGTCCAGCACGGCGCACAGGAGCGCGTGTCCCCTCGGTCGTCCGCGCTCTCGGCGCTGCTAGCTCTCGCGGCAGGGGGAACGCCGCGCGCTAGCCTCGGCTCGGCTCGCCTCGCCAGCCAAAGTACGCAGGTGCGAAAGCAACAGTTTGGATTGGATGATCTGCGGTCGATGCATCCAAACCTAGAAAGACCAAAAGCGTACGTAGCCGAGGCTGGCTAGCTAGTGCCGGCCGCTTTGTTTTCCACCTGGCAGAATCTTCCAAAACAGCGTTCAACAGTAACCCCTCCCCCACAGTGGACAAGACCACAGTAATACGAGTAGTACGATACAGCCGCATGCACTCTACTCTCTTTTTTTCTTCGCGGGCACGCTCACCTGCATGCCTGTTCTTTTTCTCCATGCTGTCGTACGTTCGTCAGTGCAAATCCTCCCGTAACTACGCAGTGATGTACTGATGTGTGTGCGATACAACTAGTACGTAGCAAGCTAGCCAGGCCACGCCCGGGGATTACGTACATAATGCCAATCTACTTCTACTAGACCACCTCAAGTACGCAAAAAGCGACGTGTTGCCTGGTTGGGGGTGTCCCTCTCTTTGTCTCCTTTTGCTTTTGGACCACCGCGAGATCTCACGCTCACTCTCAACCTCACCCGTCTCTGTTACAGATGCGGCCAGACGAGGACGAGGGGCCTCCTGCCTCCTATATCTACAGGAACAAAGGCGCACAAGCCGGGCATTGGCATTGCAAACCAGCAACAGACATGGCCGTCGCAGCTTCTGCCGCCCGCACGCTACTTCTGCCGCAAAGCTAATAAGCTTGGTAGTGGCATAGGCGCGTAGGCAGCGGGTGGTATCCACCCCCGGCCCGCCGGCTCTCATTGCAAGAGCGCGCGCGCGAGAGGGATCGGAGGAGAAGAGAATGAGACTCGTCGGCTTCGCGCTGGTGGCGGCGGCTCTTGTCATCGCTGTTCTTCTGAGCTCCACCCCCGAGGTTTCTGCCGTCAGAGTCCCGGCGGCCCCTCTGGCGGACCAGACGAGCAGCAGCCGGCGTGGCGCCTCGTCATCATCACCGGCCGACGAGCAACAACCAAACAAAGCGGCGGGCGATAACGCCGCCCCCGGCGCCGATGCAAGCAGCGCCAGGCTCGACGCGTCCAGCTGGAAGGCCGCCGCGTCGTTCGGCGGCTCCTCCTCCCCTCCGTCGACGGTGTTCGACCCCGACAGGATGAGCAAGCGCCGCGTCCGGAGAGGCTCCGACCCCATACACAACAAGTGCTGATCATCCGGAGTACATCCGTGGCGTTCCAGTGCAATCGAAAGTGTCAATTCTCTTGCTTTGTTTTCGTCTCTCGATTTTTAATCTTCTCCTCTCGCGCTTTTGTTTTTTCCTTTATTTCTTTCGTTAGCACTTTTTCTTTTCTCTCTTTGAGGTTTGAGCTGCACGTTCTGCTACCTACTGTTCTAGGGTGCGAACGATTTTGTGCTACAGAAATACTTGTACAGAGATGCATGATCTTGCATGCCAATGAAAGGTGAATGTCGAATGGACACGCTGCCGCAGCTCGCGAGTGGAGATCCACGTACTACGTCTTGCACGCCAATGAAAGGTGAATGCCAATGAAAGCGGTTGGCACTTGGCAGAGTGATGCGGTGGTGCGGAAGGAAGCGCGACGAGCCCTGTTGCTGTTGCATCGACCTTGTAGCCCATAGCCCCATAGGGAGTAGTCCGTGGAAAACGCTAACGGGCCACATGCCATAGCCCATGGCTTGCGATGTGTACAACCCATGCATGAGGAAGTTTTGAAATAACGCCATTTATGCATGCACTCAAGTCAAATTGTACTGCATGTTGTTAATATTAAAAGGTTCTCCCACTCAAATTTTGTCCATCACTTCTTTCATGCTCTCGCATGCAGTCGACCTGGATTATATTCCAACTCTCCTTGTTAGGGCGTCCTCAACGGATCAGCGACGTAGCTAGCTGACATCATGTTTCATCCGACATGGAGGAAAGATGAGGCCGAAAAACTCGGCACTAGCGACTCACTCATCGCTGTGGTCTCGCACATACAACATGGACACTTCATAGTCCACCTTTTCCTGGATAATCTGGATCTTTTGTACTCAACAGGCCTGTGGTGAGGTATCTGCAAGATATCAAAACAAACATGGATAATATCTTTTTATGAATTACTACCTCCGTCCACAAAAGAATACAATTCTCGTATTTCGATGAATCAAACAGTTTAAACTTTGACTAAAATTATATGAAAATGCACTATATATAATACTCATAGAACAAAATAAATATCAATAGATTAGTTATATAATATATTTTTATAATAAATTTAGTTGGAGACATAAATACTAATATTATTTACTATAAACTTGGTCAAAGTTGAACCAGTTTGACCGACACGTTTCCCATAATTACATTCTTTTAGGATAGATGAAGTAATTGATAACGGGATATAGCAAGAAACAAATTCTCACCATAAATCAATAACATCATAAGGATACATTTTCATATTATAGTAGCCAAAAAAGTTCTAGAAATTTGCAGCTTTGCATGTAACATCAGGAGCCTATCTTGCCTTAGTGAATGATGCAACAATGTGAAAGAAGCTATCGTTAGAACCAATTCTTGTTCCAATTCACCAACAAGCTTTAATAAACAAAATAAAGCTTACCATGATTTTGGTTGAGCAAGAATTGAAAGCCAACCAAAAGTAGACCCTACATTGCACCGTGTAATTAAAAAAAACAGCCATGGATAAATGGTTCTCGTCCTCATATTTTTTTTTATCTCCGTCCCGTATATATAATTGTTGTACGCTATCCATGTTTCATGTGCAACAAAAGAGGTAAAATGTGATTACACGGAAGACTATCTGGAATAACTTCTGTTGCACGATTTGCTATTGTTGGACTAAATCGCAATAAAGTCAAAGAAAAACTGAGGCGATTAGACCATGAGCAGATAATAAAAAATGCTTCAAAATGGAGACACTTACAAAAAAATTTGTCAAGAATGATATATAAATGATTCAAAATCAAAATGAAAAAATAGAAAAACTTCAAAACCATTAGCAGATAATAAAAGTGCTTCAAAATGGAAACACTTAAAAATTTAAAAAAATATTGTCAAGAATGAGAAATGCTTCAAAATCAAAATGAAAAAATAGAAAAAACTTCAAAAATATTGTCAAGAATGGGATTCGAACCCATGCCTATTGTCAAGAATGAGAAATGCTTCAAAATCAAAATGAAAAAATAGAAAAAACGTCAAAAATATTAAATGCTTCAAAATCAAAATGAAAAAAATAGAAAAAACGTCAAAAATATTAAATGCTTCAAAATCAAAATGAAAAAATAGGAAAAACTTCAAAAATATTGTATTGTCAAGAATGGGATTCGAACCCATGCCCTTTCGGACCAGTACCTGAAACTGGCGCCTTAGACCAACTCGGCCATCTTGACTTATGTTTGTATTTAAAACAATGATTATATATAACTTATAGTGTAAGACATGACCATTCCAATTGAACGCCAAAACGAGCAGAAGAAAAGCCAGCAGAACCCTGCGCCGGAGCAAAATGGCGGCGCTTCTAAACCCTATGTACCGGCGACTCGCCGTCGTGGGCCGCCGCCGGATTTCTACACCGGCGGTAGAGAAGACCCTGCTGCCCCTCATGTATCACCGGAGCTTCCAGGGTTTGTCCTCTTGTTAATCCATTTCTCATTTAGCTTAAGCTAATGCGTGCGAATTTTCGGGTGCTTTAACCAGCCTTTTCTTTTGGCGATTTAGAGTCAGTGATCGTTGCTAATTCATGGTCTGTTAATGTTTTATTGTTCTGGAATGTTCTAAATCTTAGATTTTGAGGGATCCCAACAATCTCGCTGCCCCCGATACTCCTGCTTCATATTTATTTGATTATTACTCACAACCTGAGATGCTCCCCTGAAGTAAAAAGGGAAACGCTGACAATGCTCTTGCTGAAATATTGTACAGAAAGACACAATTCTAGTTTGGTGGATGCGAGTGGAGGATTCGGCGAGATGCTTGCCTCTACACAGAGGTAGTATGTCTTTGGAGGCAAAGGTGGTGTGGGGAAGACAAGCATGGCGGCGTCGCTTGCTGTGAAGTTTGCCAACCATGGTGAACCAACACTTATTGCATCGACGGAACCATCTCGGTCACTGGGTGATTTATTTGAACAAGTATCTGAAAGCCTCTGTCACCTTCTCGAAAAAACTGTCTCTTTAGTATCTTTGCTGAATGTCTTGCTTGTGCTGTTTAGAGGACATGAGTGATGGCAAAACTGTACGCGTCGATGGATTTGACTCTCTTTTTGCAGTTGAGGTAGGATATGCTATGCTAGAGCTTTTGCCATTCTACTTCAAATTTTATTCTCTGTGCTATCATGATTAAGCAGGTGCTGCCCGGTTGGGAAATGAAAGCCTTGGATTTGGTGGTAGGTAACGTGATAAAACAAACGCTTGGTTTTGTAAGAAGTGGTCAAAGATCATCCAAATCATTTCACTTCTGGCTGGACAGCTCCCAAGGGCGATGATGCATTGTGTTTTCTTACGTTGAGATCTCTTTCTTGTCCTGCTGGCTTGGCTTTAACTATCTGTTATATTGTCCACAACACATTCTTTTGCAGATTGGCCATGTGAGGTTAAAGGGAAAACCTGAAGATGTTGGATCTTTTATCAACAATGTACTTGGAAAGATGGGGCTTGGAACACATTCTGATATTATGGTATAAACCACCTAGATATTTGCATTTTCCTTCTTCGTTTTCTTTTGAATGGCCCTCCAATAAATTATTAATCTCAGTGAATGCCGCAACTATAAAGTTCAAGCTATACTTCTTTGTTGGCTAAGTGTATATTGATTGTTACACTGATCTTCTTTTTATTGGTATTGTGACCTGAGATAAATGGAGATGCTTGAACTTTCCTTGGGGCTATTAGTTTCATATCCTTGTTTTTGTTCTTTAGCATGTATCACCTTATCAGTTCTTCAGCATTGTAGTTTAGTGGTCAGTTGATCCAGCATGGCACTTACACTTTTGTTTTGATGCTGTCTAATGCCAAGGAAATTGTCCCAAATAAAGTATTTATTTGCTGTTGCTCAAGAAGAAAAGTTTTCTTTCTTTTAAATTCTTTATAGATCACATTACTGTGCATGCATTTGTCCTTTCATGGTTGTGAAGTCTATGCTTAATGAGATGCTGGGTGGAATGCCCCCTGGACTTGAAGAAGCGTTTTTACTATCTGAGGTACCAATCAAAATTTACGTGCTTTACTGTTTGTTTATGCATTTTCCAAAATTACTCATCACTTGATGTGTATCCTTTGCAGCTGATAAAATCCATTGAAGTGCAAGGGCCCGATAAACTTAGGCGTATAGTGCTGGATGCTCCATCCACTGTTTGTCCCCTTCTCACCACAATATTTCCAATCTGACTATGTTCTTCATTTCATCCACTGACAGTTATTTGACTGCATGCGTCTTGTATAGGGACATACACTTAAGCTTCTGTCAGCTTCTGATTGGATTGAAAAGTTCCTTGTTTTGAGCATTAAGGTGAGAGCTTTAATATATCTAGTGAGCTTACCTGTTTTTATTTCTATGCTACCTTCATGAATTTCATTTGCATGAGTATATGTTTAAGCTTGATACTTATTTTTCCTTATGATATTAGGTGATGTAGACTAGGGATTATAAATTATTATGATATTAGTGGCAAGGACAAGTGGTATCACTAACATGATTAGGGAGTTTCTACAATCATGCGCAGATGAGCTTGAGATACTGTCAGTGCGAAAATTGTCTCATGGTTTCAATTTGGAGTTTTGGACAGTGCGCCTCTTTGAGACTGTAGACTGTAACACCAAACTGTTTGTCCAGGTTACCCTGTTTTGAGTCCTTTTGACTCTGTCGTGTTATGGAGTTAATTCTTTTAATTGTGCTTCACTGAATCCCTTTATCCGCATGCTAGAGGGCTGTAAATTCCATGCAGCATGTGCTCACAGAGTCAAAAATCACAATACGCTTCAATATAGCATTTTGTAGTATACTTTTGTTGCAAATGCAGTTGGGGATATTTAATTGTTAAAGAGAAACAAAACAGATAGAGCGTACTAGGCATTAAATGCTACAAGTTACAAGTACAACAAAACTTCTGCAAGCATGGAAATTTGTCTTGCTGCATTCTTCCCTGAGTTTTTCTAGAACCTTGGAATCTGTCTTTTGGTTATGCAAATGTATGATGCATGGTGCTGCACATTGTTATTTCAGGGCATTAATGTCGCTTTGTCCATGCCATCCTCTAATATGTCTCTTAAGAACGTGCAAGTCATCGTAAGTGTGCAACAGTTTCCAGTTGATTTGTTTTAATGTGGGCTGAAAAGAAAACTGCGAGCTTATCATCTTCCTTGTTTCATCAAGTCTGCCAGGCTAGAGGAACTAAGGAAGCAGATTGCCAGAGTGCGTGAGATTTTGTTTGATCCACAATCAACAGAATTCATCATTGTGACAATTCCAACGGTAAAAGCTACCACCATTTTTGCAATGGCGGCAACATTTACTTGTTATATCTGTAGTTTTACCCTGTTGGTATCTGGAGTCGTGTTTATTATTGTATTCATAGACTTCCATGGGCAATAGAAATTATGCTGCTTGGTATATTAACAATCTGATTCAGAAGAAAGAAAAGAAAAAAAAATCCGTCAACAGTGTCATGAAAGTCATATAAGGTTAGCTGCAGATTAGGAGCCAGTTTAATCTTGTGCGTACTTGTTTCCTCAGATGATGGCAGTTAGTGAGTCATCAAGATTTCACGCGTCATTAATGAAGGATGGTGTGGACGCAAGAAGGCTCATCGTAAATCAGGTGTTGCCACCATCTGCATCCGATTGCAGATTCTGTGCTGCAAAACGGAGGGTAAGCAAACTTCTGCCGTTCTGGCTACTCAACGTTGCCACCATCCCTTGTAGCCTTGCTTTCTGAATTTGGATCAGGATGCAGCTGTCTGAGTGCAGACCTTGAAATTTCAGGAAGAAGCACGTGCCTTCCGTGCTATACTAGAGGACCGTCAACTTGGCGGCCTGAAGCTGATCCAGGCTCATCTCCTCGATATGGAGGTGAAAGGCGTCCCTGCACTCCGATTCCTCAGCGATTCAGTGTGGAAGTAGCGGCGTACAATTACAAACCTTTGTCCGTATCTCACTAGCAAACGTGCCCTGCATAATTCGTTGCGGTGGTTACTTGGATCTGTCCGAGCTAATTGTAATGAGTTAGCTACCTTTGTTAGATTTAACTAGACATGGTTAACCTTATTTCAGTTAAATTGAATATAAATTCTAAGGCCCTTAAGAAATGCTAGGTCAAATAAAAGATTAATCTCTGAGAAATTAAGTGGAGATTGGCTCAAGGTGGTTATTATGTCCATCTCTTGTGAGGTTATGAAAGGTGGAACGTGAGTCCCCCTGTGCGCCGAGCTATGTGGAGCTAATGAAGGTTAGCTTAAGACTTCAGAAGGGTGGTCGGATGGAGAGATGGAAGAAGAGATGGACAGGATGGAAGAGATTGATAACGAAGTAGACAGATGTTATCAGTACCACCAGCACACCTAATGATAATTCTGGCTTGACACTTTTGTTAGTATATTTGTTTTCTGATGAAATGCGAAGGGATAAGATGGAATGGACTCAACATTGCCACAAGGATCATGTGGTCGTTCTTTCTGAAAGAATGTGGGAAGTGCAGACGGAAGTCCAGTTTTTGGCTCACTCAACACGTACCTTCCATGCCGTGTTGGCTGTTTGCCCCCATCTCGTCCCATGAGGTGCCTGGACCATCAACGCAACTCATGAAAAACACTCTTTCTAGCCAATCACTTTTTATTTTTTTGAAAAAGAGACTAAAAAATGTCTCGGATCTGATCTGATATATTAATATATTAAGGAGAACAAACATTTTGACAAACATCGACCAATAATAAAGAACGTACCCAGTGCAGAGAGCTCTCGCTCTGTGCGAGATCTAGGGAAGGGTGTCAGTGGCAAGCCTTACCCTCGCCTGTGCAATGCAAGGAGACAGCGACTCGAAATCGGGACCTTCCGGTCACAGGCGGTAAGACTCAACCGCTTGCACCAGACCCGCCCTTCATCGACCAATAATAAAAAAGAAAAAAAAAACAAAGAGGCCTTTTGAGATTGTTTTCTTCTTCCAAAAACATGTTGCTTGCTAGAGATTTAAAAAACATACTGTAGAGTGTAGAGGTAATAGATGTAGATTTTCTCTTCAAATGAAGATCGTAATAGTAATAGCCACTTCCGTTGACGACAAAGATCTTTACAACTGCTGGAAGAGAATCAACTGGAGTTTAACCCCAAATAACACAGGCTTGATCGATTTCTTCCATTGCCACAACATAGGGTACTGAAAACTTTGCGGTAGAAATCGAAGTAAGATGTCAAAGAAGTCGTTGATTAAACTGAAACTTCAGATATGCAAAACCCTTGCCTTGCTCGTTAGGGTGCCGATTCAGTTTTATCCTGTTGGGACCTGGAGTTGACCACTTGTTTACTACAGCTTTTGTTAGTGCACCATAGTTCGGTTAGCCCATGACGATGTAACTGACAAACACTTGGCAATCATGTGTCATCTCTTCAGCACTGGTGAAAGAATCAAGATGTCTACGAGGGAAGGTGAATTGAGCTAATTCTAAATTTTTGCAATAATTAAGTCCTACACTTAGCCCATTTCATCTCTTGTGCCTAGAATGTGTTTCTATTGTTCTCTCGCACAAAGTTTTGTATCCTAGGTTCCAATCCAACTCTAGTATGACAATTCTAGGAATGTAAAGACACGAAATAAATTGCTCAAATATAAATGCTCAATGTAAAGAGAGGGAAAGAAACACGGCGATGTTTTCCCGATGTATCGGAGAGTCGCCACTCCCCACTAGTCCTTGTTGGAGCACCCGCGTAAGGGTATAGCTCCCCCTTGATCCGCGTGTAAGGAAAATAGACCCTAGGCCCCATCTACTTTGGATTTTGGTGTTTGATGACCAACACAACCAAGTTGGACTAATGAATTTGTAAGTGATTGCTTTCTAGTTCAATAGGGTGCAAGACGTGACTTGGACGAAGGCGACGTGATGATCCGATGATCAACACCATAAACAAGACCCTAGGAGCACAAGAGAAGACCCAAGATATCAAGGAAAGTCCAAGCATGAAGATATGAATTAAGCCAGACGTAAGATCGCAAAGATACGAGCTCATAGAGGTGACCGGACGCTCCGATCAGTGACTCGACTACAGCAGGCGTCAGCGGCAGCGACTAGACGCTGGACCGGACGCTGACGGCAAATCGACCGGACGCAGAACTACAACGTTCGATCGAGTATAGAAAGGTTCCAGAGCGACGAAATTGCGACCGGACGCTGACCGCGTCCGATCAGTTGATCGCGGCTCTAACGGTCGGGACGACCGGACGCGTCCGGTCAGGACGTGATCAGCGTCCGGTCAGTAGCAGAAAAGCGGAATTTCGTCCCCAACGGCTACTTTCTCAGTGGGGCTTATAAATAGACCCCCCAACCGGCCATTTGAAGTGTGTGGAGCTAAGAAAACATATCAAGGGTGTTGATACACCATTTTAGTGATCTCCACTTGCATAGTGCTTCGTGATTCATTAGGTGATTAGCGTAGGTGCTTTGCGAAGTGCTTAGGTTGATTAGACCACCGCTTATGCGCTTGCTCTAGGTTTAGGCCTAATGTTTAGTGAGGTTTGCATACCTCTTACCACTCAGTGCTTGCGCACACCATTGCTGTACATCGGAGGGGCTTGTAGTCTTGTGAGATCACACCAACCGCAGTTGTGGTGTGGCCGCCACCGTGTACCAGAGGGAACAAGGTCCACGACGTTTCGGCCGGAAGCTTGATAGTGAAGACGGCGGGCATCATCCGGGAGAGGCTTGCCGGAAGGCACATCAGAGACCCACTTGAGCGTGGGGAAGGCCCGAGGCTATCCACGGAGTTACCCGATCGGGAGCTTGACTCTTGCGAGGGATTCCTTGCGAGGGGCTCCAACGAGGACTAGGGAGAAGCTTGCGTGCTTCTCGATACCTCGGCAAAAATACCGGAGTCATTGACGGGAGTTTACATATCTCTACCTTGCTCTTTAGCTTCTGCATTTATATTGATTGTATTACTCCTTTTGCAGTAGAGACAGCAACACACTAGCAAAATCGTAGTTGCACTTTTAGATAGTTTATTTATTGCATATGTTTTGCTAGGGTTAGAAAAAGAGACCATAGTTTAGAGTTAGAATTTTAAGTTGCCTAATTCACCCCCCCTCTTAGGCGTCACGGTCCCCAACAAGTGGTATCAGAGATAGGTTGGCTCAATTTGGACCTTTGGCTTAACCGCCGTTGAGCCGACGCTATTTAGAGTGGTTGGGATGGATACCTCTAGGCCTCCGCACTTTGATGGCACTAATTTTCCCTATTATAAAGCTACAATGGCTTGTCACCTTGAGGCGGTTGATGTGGGTGTTTGGAGAGTCACTCGTGACGGGATGAAACCCATTAAGAATCCTGATAAACCCACGAAGAGTGAAGAAAAGGAAATTCATTTCAATGCTAGAGCTAAAAATTGCTTGTTTGAATCATTTAGTATGGATGTGTTTAACCAAGTGTTCACTTTAAATACGGCACATGAAATTTAGTTAAAACTTCAAGAGCTCCAGACGGCACATCTAATGTCCGTGAGCAAAAACATTGTCTAGCTAAACAAAATTATGATTCCTTTACAATGAATGATGATGAGCTTGTTTGTGACATGTATTCTCGTTTGAATCAAATTATCAATGAGCTCCATTCAATAGGATTAACAAAGCTAGATGATGCGGACATCGTGAGGAAGATCATCTCCGTGCTACCACAAAAAAATATGCAAGCATCATCACCATCCTTCACAACATGGAGGACTTGAGCACCATGACCCCGGGCATAGTCATTGGCAAGATAGTGGCATTTGAAATGTCACGTAAGATGGGTCAAGAAGAAGCCTCTTCATCAAGCAAAGGCAAAGCTCTCGCATGTAGCGAGAAAAAGAAGATGAAGGACAAGCAAGTTGAGACAAGCTCAAGCTTGAAAGCTTTAGTTTGGTTTTGGTGAATTGATGAAACCCTATGTGCTAACCTAGTTTATCAAAGTAATCATAAGATAGGAAGCACATTCTAAGTGGTGAAGCAAATGAAGATCATGACATGATGATGGTGATGCCATGGTGATGATCAAGTGCTTGGACTTGAAAAGAAGAAAGAGAAAAACAAAAGACTCAAGGCAAAGGTATAAATGGTAGGAGCCATTTTGTTTTAGTGATCGAGACACTCAGTGAGTGTGATCACATTTAGGATCGATAGCCGTACTATTAAGAGGGGTGAAACTCGTATCGAAATGCGGTTATCAAAGTGTCACTAGATGCTCTAACTCATTGCATATGCATTTAGGATCTAGTGGAGTGCTAACACCCTTGAAAATGTTTGTGAAAATATGCTAACACATGTGCACAAGGTGATACACTTGGTGGTTGACACATTTGAGCAAGGGTTAGGAACTTCACTGGTGGAGTGTCCGCCCGTAGAGTGTGGATAGTTCGACGGTGCCACCGGCGCCCTATATAGAATAGACAAAGGTCACTGGAAGTGACCGGATGCTGTCTCTAGGTTTAGGCCTAGTGACCGGCGAAGTGCTTAGGTTGATTAGACCACCGCTTATGCGCTTGCTCTAGGTTTAGGCCTAGTGTTTAGTGAGGTTTGCATACCTCTTACCACTCAGTGCTTGCGCACACCATTGTTGTACATCGGAGGGGCTTGTAGTCTTGTGAGATCACACCAACCGTAGTTGTGGTGTGGCCGCCACCGTGTACCGGAGGGAACAAGGTCCGCGACGTTTCGGCCGGAAGCTTGATAGTGAAGACGGCGGGAAGCATCCGGGAGAGGCTTGCCGGAAGGCACATCGGAGACCCACTTGAGCGTGGGGAAGGCCCAAGGCTATCCACGGAGTTACCTGATCGGGAGCTTGACTCTTGTGAGGGATTCCTTGCGAGGGGCTCCAACGAGGACTAGGGAGAAGCTTGCGTGCTTCTCGATACCTCGGTAAAAATACCAGAGTCATTGACGG